ATCAGTTGCACCCCGCTGTGTGTCTGGGATGTGCCAGCTAGTGCTGATGGGACGGGGGGCCGGGATGGCTGGCTGGGGGGGGGGGTGATGCTGGGGAGGGGGGCGGCTGCCCCACATCGGGTCTCTCCCCTGCGCTGGGCCCCGGCCCCGGGGGGCAGGCTGCGGGAGGGAAGGACACACAGACACCAGACAGACAGACAGACAGACACCGAGCCCCCGGGGCACGGAGCGCACTAACCGTTCCCGTTTTCACCGGCACATACACCACTTGACCCATCTTCGCCGCCTCCCGGCTGCCGCTTCCCAGCCGGAAGCCCTTGGACCGGACCCAGAACTGGAACTTGCCTTTCTCCCCCCCGCCGGAGCCGGAGCCGGAGCCCGAGCCGGTGCCCGAGCCGGTGCCCGAGCCGGCTCCCCCCTGCAGCACCTCGGCGATGCGCTGGTACTTGCTCCGGGTCACCGTCTTGGTTTTGGCCGAGTCCCCGTAGGTGCGGAGGCACCAGTCCCGGAACTGCCGCCCCAGCTCGCTGTCCCCGGGGCGGCTCCCCCGCAGCAGCAGCGGGGGCTTCGGCATCCCGGCCGGAGGCAGCGCCCGACCCCCTGTCCCGGGCTGGAGACGGCAGCGAGCCCGGCCGGCCCCGGCGCTGCGCCCGGCCCGGCCCGGCCGGCGGGGATGGAGTCGGGACGGGCTGCGGGGGCGAGTCCCCGGGCGGGGCCGCTGCGGGGCAGGCGTGGAGGGAGCCGGACAGCGACCCAGCGAGCCGGGCGGAGGGAGGCACCGGCGGCGCCAGCAGCAGCAGCAGCCGCTCCTGTCACAGGATCACAGGCGGCTCCGGCTCGTCCCCCTCCCTGCCTCCCTCCCCCCGCCCGCCCGCCCCCCCCCCTGCCTCCTCCGCCCCCCTCCGGCCGCCTCCTCCTCTCCGCGGGATCCCACCTGTTAGAGCCGCGGCGCGGCCGCCCTTACCGCCCCCCGGCCCGGGGCCGCAGGGGTCGGCGCTACCCGCCTGGGGCCGGACCGCGGGCAGAGGCGTGGGGGGGGGGGCTGGGCAAGGCGGCACATGGGGGAAGTGGGGGGCCGGGGGAGGAGACACAGGGGGGCGCCCGGGGGCCGGGCAAGGCGGCATATGGGGGAAGTGGGGGGCCGGGGGAGGAGACGGGGGGCCGGGGAAGGGGGCGCCCGGGGGCGGGGGAAGGAGACACAGGGGGCGCCCGGGGGCCGGGCAAGGCGGCACATGGGGAAAGGGGGCGCCCGGGGCCGGGGGAGGAGACACAGGGGGCGCCCGGGGGCCGGGGAAGGAGACACAGGGGGCGCCCGGGGGCCGGGCAAGGCGGCACATGGGGGAAGTGGGGGGCCGGGGGAGGAGACAGGGGGCGCCCGGGGGCCGGAGAAGGGGGCGCCCGGGGGCCGGGCAAGGCGGCCCATGGGGGAAGGGGGCGCCCGGGGGCGGGGGAAGGCGGCCGGGGGAG